TGGAAAAACTCCCCTCGCGCATTAACCCTTCGGGGGCGGGCGCGCAAAAAGGAGGTGTGACATACTATAACATGCAAATTATAATGTTCGCATGCAATATTATCACGGTATAATATTATCGTTGTTTTTATGAGACCATATTATATATATGACTACCTATCTTTTAATAGCTATTTTGGCTTCAATCTTCTTAATATCTTGTTGTTATTACTACTTGTTGTCACTACTGCTTCTTTTCATCTTTTCTTTAGCCGAGTATCGGAAATAACCTCTCTGTCCTCTTAAGATATGGATAGGGCTGATACATCTTTCCCTCTTCACACCCTCCAGACCCCAATTATGGCTGGAATCCAAAGGGTTTGTTATTGTTGTTAGGAGACCATATTAAATTATTTTGAAAAAGGAAAAAAGCACTTTTAGAAATGAAGGAGAAGTCAAAGAGAACATAAAGCCAAAAATAGAGCAAAAGTGCTGCTATAGTTTCATTCTCATTAATAAATTAATTTTTCCTACACAAACTTGGAACTCAATAAAAAAAATAATAGAAGAACATGCATAGTAATAATTAAAAAAAAAATGTTACAAGAAATGGTCTTCAAGTTGTGACCTATACATAAGAGTTACATAACCTATTCTTTCTTATGTAAGTCTTTTGGATTGGTAGGCTAAGTCTATCTTTTCTGGAAGTTGAATGCCTTAATTGCCAATGCAAATGTGAGGGCAAACATAACAGGCAATGCAACGATCACAGCTGCGACTACGCCAAGAAAATCATGCTTAAACCCGAAGTAACGATCCAAGAATTGTTCCACAGTTTCATTATTGCCAAGATCGTTTTGTAGGTCGTTTTGTAGGTCACCGAATTGTGATGCAACGAGACCATATAAGGTCCATGCAACAGGGCATGCCCAGTAGTACCATCTCCACCATATTGGAATACGCTGTTTTTAGCCAAGAAAGGGAACGATAACATGTCATTTTTTGAGATTCGGATTAGTTTACATGGATGAAATATATGGAAATGTTGGAGTTTGAAGAACTTACAGGTCGTGGAACGATGAATCCTGAGAAGAGATTCCATGCTGCATAGAAGAAGGCCGCGACAATAGAAGCAACGTTTTGATTCGGGGAAATAGCCACGGTCATCATACCATAGAAGGTGAAGTACAAGAGGGTGAAGTACATGAAGAAGAAGTACCAAAAGAACTTGGCAGCAGTCCATTCAAATCCAATCATTGAATATACAATGAGACCATAGAAAGCAGCTTGTACAAATACATAAGGTATTTCAATGACAATCTGCAAGAAAAATGAAGTTTTCATGGATTACTATCAACCCTTTTTTGAGGCTGAAATATGTATAAAAGATAGCAGCCCGGTGCACTAAACTCCGCTATGCGCGGGGTCTGGGGAAGAGCCGGACCACAAGGGTCTATTGCGCGCAGCCTTACCCTGCATTTCTGCAAGAGGCTGTTTCCACGGCTTGAACCCGTGACCTCCTGGTCACATGACAACAACTTAACCAGTTACGTCAAGGCTGAAATATAACTGTCTGTTCACCTGTCCAAAGGCATACGGTATTGCAGAATACATTCCAGCAGCTCTTTCTCTGTAAAATACAGTACGCTCAACGGCTACAACGGGCTGGACTGATGATGAATTT